TACTAGTCCTTTGATGAATAGGTGGGTTTTACAGTTTTCTCCTATTCTGCAGTTTGCGTTTTCATTCTATTTATTGGACGTTTCAGAGCAAACATTTTGAAATTTGATAAGGTCCAATTTATCAATTTTTCCTTTACGGGTTGTGTTTTGTTGTCACGTCTAAGAACTCCTTACCCATAGATCCCAAAGAGTTTCTTCTATTTTTTTCCCATAAAAGTTTTATAGTTTGCATTAAGCATCAGGAGTCTGATCATTTTATGAACTATATAGACGTCTAACAAATGTACTGCGTACTTGAACTAATTAAAATAAATAAATAAATTTATATAAAAAAGACGTATTAAGTTTGTGACTGATTTTGAGTTAATTTTTGCGATTTCTTAATTAAAATTATCGCGGTGACATTGGTTAATAAAATCAAATAGGTTTCAAGTGTACAATTCAAATATATATATACTGCATTGTGTGTTCACCACCCAAAGTTAAATTTCCTTCCTCCTCCAAATATTTCTCCACTTTATTCTTGGTTTTCAAAATCGCTTTGGCTGTTATACTTTCTTTGCCTTTGTATACAAATGTTTGAATAATCTACATATACAAAAAACCTCTCTGACATTTTGGTAGAAATCACTTTAAACTTGTATATCATTTTGGGGACAATCGATGTCACTTCTACGTTCAGTATTCTAATCTACATATATGGTATGTCTCTCATTTATTTAGATATTTGGTTTCTTTCGTTTTATGCCTTTTAGCATACGATTACTGTGCACGTTGCATTAAATTTATGCCTAGGTATTTCTTTTTCTGAGTGGTTATAACTGGTATTGTATTTTTCATTTCAGTGTTCATGTACTCGTCGCTAGCGTATGGGAATACAATCGATTTTTACATGTTTTTCTGTTTTTCTTGTATGCTGCAACTTTGTTGAAATCACTTATTACTTCTAGGAATTTTTTTTGGTGACTACTTGGGGATTTTCTATATATACAGTCTTGTCACTTGCAAATAGAAACAGTTTTAGTTCTTTCTCTCCAATCCGTATGCCTTTCATTTCCCATTATCGCCTTATTGCAATAGCTCAAATTTCCCTCACTATGTTAAATAAGAGTGGTGAGAGCTGATATCATTCTTTTTTCCTAATCTCCAGAGAAAAGCATTTTGTCTTTCACTGTTAAATATAATGTTAACTGTAGGTTTCTGTAGATTTTTTTTTATCATGCTGAGGAAGTTCCTCTGTATTCTTATTTTTCAGAGAGTTTTTATCATGAATGAGTGTCGGATTTTGTCGAATGCTTTTTTTTCCGCATCAATTTATATGACATATGATTTTTTCTTCAGCATATTAATATGTTGGCTTACATTTATTAATTTTTGAGTATCGAACCAGCCTTACATTCTTGGGGGAAAAAAATCTCACTTGGTTATGATATATAATTGTTTTAATATATTGCTGAATTTTATTTGCTAATATTTTGTTAAGGATTTTTGCATCTATATTCATAAAGGATATTGGTCTACGGTTTTCTTTTTTATACTGTCTGTCTAATGTTGCTACTGAGATAATTCTAGCTTCATAAAATGTATTGAGAAATGTTCCTTCCTCTTCTATTTTTGGAAAAGATTTTGTAAAGTTGGTGTGAATTCTTCCTTAAAAGTTTGCTAGAATTTTCTAGTGAAAATTGGGCCTGGAAACTTTTTTGAGAGGTATTATTTAATCACTAATTTAATTTCCTTAATAGGTATAAGGCTGTTCACATTAACCATTTTATATCGGGTGAGTTGTGATACTTTGCATTTAAAGAATTGGTTTGGGACGTGGTTCCATAGTGTAGCGGTTAGCACGTCTGCTTTACATGTGGAAGGTCCTGGTTTTATGCCCCAGTGGAGCCAGAATCCATGGTCTACGGCCATGTCACCCTGAACAAGCCCGAAGCGTGATCTCGGAAGCAGGGTCTGGCCTGGCTAGTACTTGGATGGGAAGCCACCTAGGAAGACCAGGTGCTGTAGGCATAAATATTGATAATAAAATAAAATAAAATAAAAAGAATTGGTTCATTGTATCTAAGTTGTTCGACGTATGTGTGTAGAGTTGTTCATCATAATCCTTTATGATTCCTTCGATAGCTTTAGGGTCTTTTCATTCCTAATACTGGTAATTTATCTCTCCTCTCTTTTTTCTTTGTTAGTCTTGCTGGAGGTTTGTCAATTTTTTAAAATCTTTCAAAGAGCAATTTTGTTACTGCTGGGCCTTCTCTGGGTAGTACCCTGACTGGGGTGCTGGGGCACCTCGTTGTAGCTTTACAATGGCGTAGGTCTAAGCTCCGCCACTAGGCCTTTGCTGGGGGTAGGCGGGGCCATAGTTTTACTTGTGATGTTTGGCTGAGGTGGACCGGTTATTGTCTAAAAGTTTTCTATCTTTCTAGACTGCCTCTCTTCTGGCCCTTTGGCTAGTGAGAACAGGCTTTTGTTGGGTCTTTTTATGTCTGTGCTTGTGGGAATTTCTGGGTTGCTGGCTTCTTCCGCTTCATGTCGGAGAGTTCATGAAGCTAAAAGAAAACCCAGGGACTTCGTCACTGTGTAGTTCCTTTGATTCAGAGGCCCCTCGCCTGTCTGTCTTTTTCTCTCTACCTTTTGGAGTTGTTTTCTATATAATGTTCATGGATTTTAATTGCACTGAATGGGAAGAGGAGGTAAAAGTACATCTATTCCTCCTCCTTGGAAGCACAAGCCCCATTAGCCTTATTTTAAGTTATTTTCTAAGACATCTTTTGTTATTTTTTTTTAAATCAGGAACAAGCTTGAATTTTATAAAATGCTTTTTTAGCCTCTATTGATATAATGTGCTTTCCTTTTTATATCTATCAATATAAGGATTTCACAAGAAGTTTTAACTAAATATGTGTGGCGAATGGTATATAGTTGTCTACTCCTGTCCCCAAGCATACAGCAGAGTTTTGTTACAGGCTTAAGTGGCTAGAAGGGCCTTGCAGGTAAAGTGAATGAGTAAGGAATGCTGGCTGGGACTTTTGCAAGACTGGGGAACGTAATAGGTTCTGGAGTTAAAGGGGAAACTTGGGACTTGTGTGTAGGTTGAAAGTACCACTGAGCTCCTGATGTTTGTTTTTGTTCCAGAGAGACCAAAAGTAATATTTTGTGGGGGCAATGTTCCAATTTGTAAAGGTTGGCATCTAATTTATAAATATTGCTAAACAATGTGTAGGTCAAATTAAACATATTGTGGACCTGATTCAGTAAGAGGGCTACCAGTATGTGACTTCTGGCACAAGAGTGAGGCTTCCTTTCCTCTGACACAAGAAAAGATTACCTAGAGAGACTGTAAAGAGAACTTAACTATCGACTGGGTCCTTAATAAAGGGACAAAGCCTCTTTTCCCCCTCCAACTCTGGGCCAAATTCCCAAGGACATAGGAAAGGGAAATCCAGATGGTTTGGGGGGATTCAAAAGCAGAGTCCTGTGTTCCTCCTTTCTTAAATAGAGTTCAACACTGATGAGACCCAAGAATTTGTCTCAGTGTAATGTAGGAGTTTCATGTTGTATTTGCAGATTTGACTGAGATCGCCCCATTGAGGGGCTGGGAGTGTGCCTGCATTTATCTTGTTGAGACACAGAGAGTGAATCAATTTTTAGAAGCCTAGGAGGGTCGTAGAAGTCGAGACTCAGCTGAGGGGGTCTCCCAGATGGGAGTGAAGGGTTACACATCAACTGTTATGAAGGTTCATAAAAGAATGTAACTTCGGTTACATTTCTTAGATCATTTGAATTTATGGACCAAAAATTGTACCCTCTACAGTGTTCTTGCTGCTATAAAGTCTATCGCATTCTAGGTTCGATGTGTGGTATTGTCATCATTATTTTCTAAATTATTTTTCATTACGACTTCAGTTCTTTCTTGAAATAATAGTTCCCTCCCCCACCCTAGGTTTTATTTAGTTCAAAATGGCCTTCTTTTCTATTTGACGGATCTTGTTGTTTTTCAGATCTGATTTTTAAAAATAAATTCCAGCACATGAAACTGAACATTTTCACGTGTGAAAACACATTCAGAAACTCCTAAATAGGAATAGAATTTTATATCTGTGAAAATGTGTATTTTTGAAATTACCGAAGCCCCAATCTATGTTAATCTTAATGTTTATACTTATTTTCTTATATTTTTTAAAATACGTAAGTACCAACTTTGCCATCAATAACTTTATGTCCGCGACTTGCCACTAAGGTTTTTTGCTTCTTTTGTTTTTCTCTTTGCTTTCTCTGTAAGCTAGTTAAACACATTATATATACTTTCCCGGTTTATTTTCATTAAACTATACACTCTATGAAGGGGCAGATAGAGATATCTTTCAGTGTTATTTAAAAGCTAACGAAGTCAGATAATTCAAAGCAATCGATACGTAATAAAGTTAAAGTTACTTTGGCAAGGTCATAGTCATTACCAGAATCAGCTTTATTTGTACAATGAATCTTTGAGGCGTCTTGTGTCTTGGGTATCTAAGAATCGCACACAATATCTATCGTTTTGCCTGGCGGTCTCTTTCTCTATAGCAATTTATCTCCATTTGACACATTATATATTTTACTTGTTAGTAGATTCTAGGCCTGGGTCCCCCAAGTTGTTCTGATTCGTTTACTGATATAGTCCCAACTCTTCCAATAGCAGCTGGCACATCGTGGGTCTTAATTAAAGGTTAAACCAAAATACATCCAAAGAACCTAGAAACTGTGTGAGGCTCACAAGGACCGATAAAGAGATTCACCAGCAGTGCAGAAACACATTACTTATGACACATCTACAAGTGAATAACTTTCCTTGCGATTTTTCCCATCCATTTCCTTCTTTAACTGGTAATGAAAGCTAACTGGCCTAGGCGTAGTCTCTACCTATTGACCTTTGGTCATTGAAGAGTTTGCGGACGATTAATCAGCGAAAGTGGGGGCGGGGGGCGGGGCGGGGGCCGGGGGACACAAAGGGAAAAAAATTAAGCGGTAGCTTCGATGGAGCACTCCCGGGCTAGATGTCCAGATGCGCCACAGCGGTAGCAGTTCACCTCGCTCGTCTTGGGGCAGTTGGCGGCCACGTGGCCCATCTCGCCACACCGGTAGCACTTGACTTGGGTGCAGTCTTTCTGAATGTGGCCAAATTTGCCACAAGTGTAGCACTTCTGCTCGTCCTGAAGGTCACAGTCACGAGCCAGATGGCCTGTCCTGCCGCAGGTGTAACAGCACTGATCTCTCTCGCGCTTGGGCTCAACACAGTCTTTGGCGATGTGGCCGCTCCCTCCGCAGTTGTAACAGATGTTCTCGTGAAGGTCGCAGTTCTTAGCATGATGACCGGACTCACCGCAGCGGTAACAGATGTCAGGTAGGGTGTTGGAACTGCTCTGAGAATCTCTGCCACGGGCTCTAGCTCTGCGTCCTCGAGCAGCTCCTTGAGGGCACACCCGGGCCCAGTGGCCAAAGCGTCCACACCTGAAGCACTCATTATTATTACTGCTCATGGCTCCGGTGAGATCTTCCAGTGAGCCCGCTCACCTCTGCCCGGGAGGCCCCGACGCTACTTCCCTTAGGGTGGCCTAGAAAGCAGTGGCCGTTTTTCTCTAGGGGCCTCCATGACGTCACAGAAGGTTTGCGCACGGCCCCATCCAGGTGTCACAAGTGTTCCAACTGCCATTGCCTCCTGACCTTCCCCCCATCCTTGAGGTCAAAAGCGCGCGGCTGAACGTTTTCCGTTTTTTGAAAATGGAAGTTTGAGCCGTTAAGTTTGAGTTTGAATGACTCCCTGGATAGAATAGGATTTCTTATAATTAAGACTTAAGCCTTCTTTGTGATCTAGTAGATGATAAGTTTTATATATGCTATGGACATAGGAAAAATATGTATGAGATGTATTTAATCCAACGAATGAAAGAAATGAATTGTAACAAATCATAGTAACCCATTTTTTCTTTTAAAAAATAAAATACAAATGTCCATAAAGATATGGAATATATAAGACAGAAAAAAATCTATAAAATGCCACAGTGATATTTACTCACAATTTAGCCCGTTTTATTGTAGCGACCTTAATTTTCAACAAAATCAGCACCTTTTAAGTTATAAAACATAACACATTGAAAGCTTTCAGTATAAAGAATGCATTATTACTTGGGAAATAAATTACAAAACCATAATTTACATATTGGACAGATTTCCTCTGTTTTCCAAGTTATTTGTATCTTATATAAATGTCATAAGAGTTTATGGACATGTAATTCATTTATATAGATATAGAAATAAATATGGAAAACGACACAAATATTGACAGAAGCTATTTTGGGGTTATGTGACTGAATATGACTTTTTTCTCCTTATTTTCCTTCTCTGTAGTTTATAATTTTTGAAATGATTTGGGGTTGTGTAATTTTAAAATTTTAGAATGAAGATTTTCCTTTAAGTTACTAGTTAGCTATATGGTTCCCATATACATTTTATTCATAAATACAATGACTAAGAAAACCGTTTAAGACAATGAGCAGTTGCCACATAAAGAATGAAGAAATGAGTTTTCTTCCTAAACAATTAAATGGTGCTGCATAAATGGTTTCAGAAGGCAAAAATTCTCTCTGTGGCTCAAAAGTCAGTATATGCTTATTAAATTAATTACTAATTATCATGTTTAAATCTTCCTTTAGGCTTCATATTTTTATTTAAGTAATACATGTCACAGTTTAAAGCATTCATTTTCCAAGCAGCTTTAATTGAGACATAAAGTAAGAAATGCATACTGTATCACAATAGAGAAATATGTGTGTGTTAACTCAAACGAGTTTAAGAAAAAAAATACTTACCCTTAATGTGTGCAGTGCACTTTGACGTTTTCTATTTATGTTGTAAAAAATGCTGGTGGTGAACCATTAAATTGATTTCTCAATTCACTATTGATTGTAACTCAGTTCGAATCACACAGAATAAACATTTAGGCCTCGTTTACCTATATCATCTTCGGGTGCACCTCATGCACTTGCAAACTTTGAGTTCTCCACTCCACACCCCCCACCTGCCCTTTCAACTTTCTCCTAACAATTATTGGGTCGTTATCCAACATTTTCATAATTATAACTATGTAAATGCTACTGATGGCTGAGCCGTGAATACTCATATACTTATCTCAATTCTATTTCATAGATCAGTATGGCTATCCTGACCTATGATCCATATAGTCTTCACTACTGTGGCTTTATATTTTGTTCTGAAATTAGGAAGAATTGTTGTGGCCTGTATAGAATAGACCAAACCAAGTATGCTCTCAAAGGCTGTTTATTAGCCGGCGGCGGCTGTCCTGTACAAAGGAGCGGCCCCGAAATGCCAAGATACAAGGTTTTTAAGCCCTAAATCCCATTCTTCATTCTATCTTAAACACAAAGGTCTATCTTTCTCCTATTCACTACCTGTCAACCCACTGGTCAGGTGTGCAAGCGGGGAGTACAGAAGCAGAAAGCTTGTTGTTAGAATGTTATGTTCCTATGGGTGATTGCCTATGTTCCCATGGACAATAGCCAGTGTTCCCATGGGCGATGGCCAAACAGTAATTTTCAGCTTAAATACAATCGATTATTTTTCATGCCACGCAAGCAAGCAGGGTTACACAGGCTAAAATTGGCAGTTAGCGTATGAGCTCATTGTTACCAGTTTCATGATTAACAGAATGTAGTTAGGGGTTCCAGAAACTAGGCCTAAGGTATAGACTTCCTTTGTCCAGTTTCAGGTTTTAATGATCCTTTAACCCTTTCACATTTCAGCGGGCTGTCACAGAATGAGGTCTCCGGCTTTGCTCTTCTTTTCGAAGATCGTTGTGACTATCTGAGTCCCTTGCATTTCCATATGGATTTTGGTGTCAATATGTCAATTTCTGCAAGAAAGGCAACTGGGATTTGATATATATCGTGCAATCTGTAGATCAATTTGGGGAGTATTACCTTAACAATATTAACTTATCCAATACATGAGCACAGGGTGTTGTGCCCTTTATTTAGGTTTTCATTTTCATTTCATATATTTTGTAATGTTTAGTGTATTAGTCTCATGCATCGTCTCTTAAATTTTTGTCCTAAGTGTTTCATTCTTTTTGATGCTATCGTAAATGGAAATTATTTTCTTAATTTCATTTTTGGGTTGTTCATTGTTAATATCTAGAAATATAATTATTTTTGTATATTGATCTTTTATCCTGCAATCTTGCCAAACCGAACTGGTTGATTTAATAGTCCCAATAGTTATTTAATGGATTCTTTATGATTAGGATTTTCTATAGACAAAGTTACGTCATCTGCAAGTAGAGACAGTTCGTGTCAACTTAAGATACTTCCAAACTGTAGAAAATTTTTAATGTTATTTGAGCCAACCTGCCGACAATTGCCATAATTGCCGGGAAGCAAACTCTAAACGGATTGAGAAAACGCTCCGGAGAGCGGCAGTTTTGCAGCTTCTTTTGTCCATTAGAATCAAGGCAGGAGACGTGAGGGGGGTCACACCACGTCCACTGGTGGTGGATTAAGGGGGCCAGAGAAAGCAGAGGGGGAAATCTCTGGGATTAGGGAGGGGCACGTACTTCTTTTCATGGGTGGGGGCCGGGTGGGTGCGGGAGAGTTAACAATTAGCATTTACAGCTCCTAGAGATGGTATGTGGGGGACCAGATAAGAGTGGCTGGGTGGGGACAAGATGACAAGGAGGGGCGGGGAACAGGATGACCGGGAGGGGTTCTGAGGTCTCCGCTCTGGTGCCCGGGCTGTGCCCGAGGGGTCTGCCGCGAAGGGGGCTGACTCTGGCATTCCAAGGGTTTGTTATCTTAGATGCTCAAAGACAACAGACAGGCTCCCTTGAGGTAAAGACTGACCTTCGTCAAGGAAGCTGCAGGCCCAGGATGCCACTTACCCGCCAGGACCTGCTTCAGTTAGGAATTTTTCTGTTCAGATCATCCCGTGGGGTTAATTTTGGTCTCTGAGTTTGTAGGGCCGCCCCTGAGCTTGTCAGGTTTAGCATGTGGCCCCCTTTTCATCCACATTTGAATTCTTCCTTTTCAATTTTGGTTCCTGTTATTTCATTTCCTTGTATAATTGTCCTGACTAGAGCTTCCAGTTAAATGCTGAATAGAAGTGGCCAGCACAGACATCCTAGTCTTGTTTTTTTTTAATTAAATATTATTGGGGTTTAATTAAATATTTCTCCAGTTGATATTTCTACGTTGATTAATAAAATCAAATAAGTTTCAAGTGTACGATTCAACAGTATGTCGCATATATATTGCATTGTGTCCATCACCCAAAGTTAACACACCACGTCCACTGGTGGTGGATTAAGGGGGCCAGAGAAAGCAGAGGGGGAAATCTCTGGGATTAGGGAGGGGCACGTACTTCTTTTCATGGGTGGGGGCCGGGTGGGTGCGGGAGAGTTAACAATTAGCATTTACAGCTCATAGAGATGGTATGTGGGGGACCAGATAAGAGTGGCTGGGTGGGGACAAGATAACAAGGAGGGGCGGGGAACAGGATGACCGGGAGGGGTTCTGAAGTCTCCACTCTGGTGCCTGGGCTGTGCCCGAGGGGTCTGCTGTGAAGGGGGCTGACTCTGGCATTCCAAGGGTTTGTTATCTTAGATGCTCAAAGACAACAGACAGGCTCCCTTGAGGTAAAGACTGACCTTCGTCAAGGAAGCTGCAGGCCCAGGATGCCACTTACCCGCCAGGACCTGCTTTAGTTAGGAATTTTTCTGTTCAGATCATCCCATGGGGTTTTAATTAATTAATTTTTATGGTGACTTTGGTTAACAAAATCCAGTAAGTTTCATCTTTATACTTCAACAGTAAGGCGCGTATATATATATACACACACACACATATATATGTATTTATATATATACACACATATATATATAAATACATATATATGTGTGTATATATATAAATACATATATATGTGTGAGTGTATATATGTGTATTATACATATATATGTGTATATATATGTGTGTATATATATACATATATACAAATATATGTGTGTGTGTATATATATATATACACAATGTGTGTTCACCTCTCATAGTTATTTGACCCCCATTACTCCATATACCTCCCCCCTTCCCCCACCTCCTACCCTGTGGTAACCACTAGCCTATAGTCCATGTCCATGAGTCTCTGTTTGTCCTGCTCATTTGTTGCTTTTAGGTTTATAGCCCACATATAAGTGTTATCATGTGATTTCCAACTTTTTCTGTCTTGCTTATTTCGCTTAGCATGATTATCTCAAGATCTCTCCATGTTGTTGCAAGTGGCAGTATTTCATCTCTTCTTACAGCTTCTTTAGCCAATCATCTATCGTAGGACACTTCGGTTGCTTCCATATCTTGGCCACCGTGAATAATGCTGCTATGACATGGGGATGCATATATCTTTACGGATAAATGTTTTCAGGTTTTTGGGGTAAATAAACACTCAAAAGAGGGACTGCTGGATCACATGGTAATTCAATTAGTAGTTTTTTGAGGAACCTCCATACTGTTTTCCATAGTGGCTGTACCGATTCGCAGTCCCACCAGCAGTGTATGAGGGGTCCTTTCTCTCCACATCCTCTCTAGCATTTGTTATTACTTGTCCTGTTGATTATAGGTATTCTAACAGGTGTGAGATGGTATCTCATTGTGGTTTTGATTTGCGTTTTCCTGATAGCTAGTGAAGCTGAGCATCTTTTCATACATTTGTTGGCCATTTGTATGTCTTCTAGGGAGACGTGTCTGTTCAGGTCCTATATCCATTTTTAAATTGGATTGTTTGTTTTTTTATTGTTGACTTGTAT